GTTATTGAATATATGCAAAATCTAACCATCAAATCTTCAATGTTAGGCTACTGGCTTTTATTGACAAGAACAAACACTAGTGATTTTTGCTAATTAACCTATCCGCATCTACTATAGATATTGCCTTAGTGCAGCTGCTCCTTAGAATCCAACTATCTCCTGCATAAACAGAAATAAATTATTTACCCCACATTGTTAACATGGACAAATTAACTACCCTGTGGGGGAGAGAGAAGGGATTCGTTTATTCCGTTTAATAATTTATATTTTATATCAAATTTCAATGATGCAACTATTAAATTAAAAGTTCTTAATGTATATATTAAATTTATAAATTTTTAAGAAAATTAAAAATCATATAATACTTTGTTTCATTAATTCAAATTAATGGATAAATCTATTTGAGAAGGGATCCATTTTGTCTAAGTGTAAGTTTACCTAGATTTATTTTACTCGATAACGCATGTTTTACATCAAGTATTAACAATCTAATAATTGAATTAGAAATTCTTAATACATATATCACGTTTACAAATTTTTAAAAAATTTAAAAATTATTTGATACTTTATTTTATTAATTTAAATCAACGTATAAAATATTTTATGAATATATTATCATAAACATCATAAAGTGTTAATATATTAATAACTTGGTCAACGACCCCACTTTGGTCAAAAAGCCTTATATGAGAATAAGACAGGATTAACAGGTTTGTTAGGATGGTTGGTGGTGGTGAGTCATCCTGGTGATGACTCTTTTGTTTGATGTTACTATGATATAGTATGATTGAAGTATAGACATTTGACTAGCGACTACGAGTTATTTTGTGTACAATTATGTAGTTGTTGTAGATCTTATATATGTATACGAGGTATATGTGTAACCCTGTAAAGAGATTTGTTGATTTCAGTTGTTTTATTTTCCATCTTATACATGTATAGATTGTATACATGGCTATGTAACTATTGCATGAAAATCCTAGGTTAGTTGATTTGAGTTGATGTCTACACTACGTAATAGTTGAAGTATATTAAGTATAAGGATCTGTCAGGTTATTATAAATAAAATATATTAAGAGTTTGAGAAGACATTTTAGTAATTTATAATTTTTTTAGCTAGCTCGATTAAAATGAGTTTGTTTCAACCAAGTTTCTTGATTCAATAATTGTAAAATGTGTCCTAGGACATGGGAGTTTGACCTAGAGCACCTAGGTTCGATTTTCGTCAGTGTTAAATTAATGTTTCACTAGTAGGAGACATGTCTTACGAGTATCGATTAATCTTTGGTTATCAATTTTGAAACATTATGTGAACTATGCATATGAATAAATAAATAAATAAAATTTTTAAAATAATACTTTATTTTAGAAACTTATAACATATTTTCGTAAATTAATTAAAATAACTTATATTTAAAAAAAATTTAGTTTTTTTATCTTAATTAATCTATTTAGTTGTTTTTTTTTTTCCTTTTTTAATTAAAAAACCTTTATGCGTACGTTATTGCTTAAAATGTGTTTGTTTGTGTTGGGCTTAAAATGTAGATAAGACGAATGATGATGAAAGGAAAAGTGTATTGTTATCTTGTCTTGTCCTTTGACCAGGAAGAAAGAAAAAGTGAGGTATCGGTCATTGAAACATGAGAATGTGATGTGAGTGAAGTGTTTATGTTAATACTAATAATTGCCTAACAGTTAGTACAAAACCCAATTATTTAACATGGAAGCATGGTTACTTTGCAATCATGACCCGCGGTTCAGGGTAAAAACGAGGTCGCCATTATCATATGGTAAAACAATTTTAAATTAAAACTAATGATTTTTAAACAATTATAATTTTATAATAGAAAAATATTTTTGATTATATAAGTCACAATAAAGTTTAAATATAATTTTAATCTTATAAATAGACGAATTTTAATTTTCATCTTTGTAAGTTTTTTTTCTTAATTTTTAATTATTTCGTAATTTTAAATTTCTAAATTTAGTCAAAGTGAGTGAACTATAGTTATATTTAAAAGTCATCCCTCAAAACTTAAAATTACATTTTTTAATCTCTATCAATCATTTTAAAGTAAATAGATAATATTCATTTTCGAGGATTAATTTTTTTTAGAAATATCATAACTAACTCAGTACCATAACGTACACAAGTGGATATCACTTGAAATTGAATAATCACTTTGACTTTCATCAAATATAAATAAATAAATAATAAATATCACACAATAATAGAACAAAATATAATGGTTTTAGATTTTTGTGAATGTAAAACCAAATACATATTGTTTTACAAAAATTAAAATCACTACTCATTTATTTTATAGGACTAAAAATGTATTTTAATCTTATAATAAATAAAATTTTAATATATAAATTATATTTTAACTATTATAACAAATAATTTATATAATAGTAAGAGATTATTTTTAGTTATTTTTAATTCCATAAAAATATTGAAATACAATGTAAAGATAATAAGAAACAAATGTGGTAGATTAAAACAGATAAACAATTAATATAATCAAACACCCGAATAGATATAAAAGAATGGTGGCTTGAGATAATAGAAGAAAAAACAAAAGTCCGGAATCCACATTCAATTCAAATGAGAAAATAAACAATACTAAGAGTGTTTAGTTAAGAGAGCATAGAGTCTCACTCTACAAATTTATATTCTAATTAATATTTTAGTTTATGTAATAAACAGGATGAACGATCTCAAATTTAAAATTATTTATTTTTAATTTTTATAATTTTTGAAAAATATTTTAATATTTTACTCAAATATTGTTAATAAATTTTTTAAATATTATAACATAAAATTCACCAATTAATATTTTTATAATAAAAATATTACATTAAATTTAATTGATACATAATTGTCTTAATTTATTAATGTTAGTTATGTTATTAATAATGTAAAGAATTAAAAGAAATAATTTTAAATTTAAATATTTAAAAATATATTTACTCTAAATTTGATGTCCTAAAAATATATTTAAGTTAAAAATAAATAAATCGAGAGTATTGTTAAAAGAAGAAGAAGAAAAAACTTAAGAAGTAAGGCCCAAATTCTGCCTGACAATTAATGTTTTTTTTTTCTTTCAAAATTGTTGATCTAGTAGGGTATTGAGGAAGTAGTATCTTAAAGTTAGGGAATAGAAGATTGTTTTCTGCACCCCAAATATCTGACAGATATCAAATGTGTTCTGGAATGGGAATATATGATTAGTGGATGAGCATGCTTCATTTATGCTTTTCACCCAACTGTGGTCGCTGGAGATATTCATTTTGCTTTCTCACCGCTTTTATTATTTTGGAAATTGGAATAACACATAATTCTGTTCCAAATACAATTTGAGTATTATTTAACAATGCTTTGTTAAAGCATCTCTAATGATTACAGATGTTCTTAAAATCGACAAAAATTGTATTATTTATTTAGGAGAGCATAAAGAAATGTTCTTTAGATTATATTATTATTATTATTATTATTATTATTATTAAATGTTCTTTAGATTATATTTAGACGTAGAGAAAATTAAAGAAAATCATTGAAAATAAATCAGAAAGAAAAAATAGCTTTAACTTAATAAACAAAATTTAGATTTTTTCTTTCTAAATTTATTCTCCAATTCAAGTTTTTTCCCCCTCTCTTTTCACATTTTCTTTCTTCTAATCCTCTACAAAGTGAGTTTCAAATCCATAAAGTGAAAGTCAATTCCGCTTATATAAAAGTCAGTTACTAAAAACCTTATTTCACTTGAACTAAAATTCTTGCACATATGTTGTGAATTACTCTTTACAAAAGATTCATTAATTTACCCAACTTTGACCAATTTAGTTAAAGACATTTTAATATTTAGCGCAAATTTTGCACGGAAAGGAAATTGATTGAAATCCGTGAGATATTGCAAATTTCGAAAATAAAGTATCGTCCAATAACCATTATTTTTCTTCATAAAGTACATCGAGGAATAAAATTCAAGATAAATGGAATCCTCGTAGTATGCCTCAATCTAGCTAAATCTATAACTAACGCTGTATTACTATGTCGTGCTAGTTTTAAGAAGGTGAATTCGTGAAGATATTTTATGGCAAGTGACTATGTATCATAACTAAGTCTTTTTTGTATTGTTTCTATTGTTCTCTAATTCTATTTATTATTAATATATATTAGTGAAATAAAATTCTAATTCTAATTAAACAACAACACTAACCGTTGTCTAAGTTTTGTTCTTTGTATCCATGTTGGACAGCATTTTGACATTACTATAACTTGGGCTACAAATATCTATTTTTAATGGTTTTTACATGCTAAAAAAACCAATAGAGATATATGATCCTTGTGAAATACACATCTAGCCAATTTGAAAAGCTAAATTCATGGGCCAGCATTTTCGCTGGGGCAGACCTAATGGCTAATAGATTTGACAACTTCAATTGAATTTAACTTGATCAACAAACTAAATATAGGGATAGGGTTGTAAATTTGTATTGTTTCTCGTTTATTGAAATTATTCAGAATAAAATTCCTTTGGAAGGCATGATAAATTTTAGTACAAGCTTAAATTTCTTGACTTGGGTTTTGATAATCGACTCTCTGTTACATTTCTTTGTTGGATTTCATCTCTGTTACTATTAAAAATTCCCCCTTTCCAACAATCATAATTTAATTGAGAAACTTAATTTGATCTTTTGAAAAAATAACCTAAGTTGTGTATACTACAAGTAATTAAAAACCTAGTTTTATTTCGACTTCCATCAAAGACTTACAGAACCTATAACCGAAGCTCCACCTAATAGCTAACAGACGGAATTCACTCTACCATGCTGTCACAATCAGTTGACCGTTGTGCATTAGCAACTCTATTAAGAATCATCACAAAAAGTTCCCTTTACAGAAACAAATTTGGCAACAACAAATACATTACCTGCAAATTTAAACAAGCATACTTTCTTAAAGTAGTATTTCAGCAGCGCAATATTAATGTTGATGATAGAAACCCTCAAGTCCATAAAAAGAGGTATTTATAACTGCATCAGCAAGTTTCAGTCTCCAAATTTGTGCTCTGTAAACCTATAAATTCATGGCAAGCATAATATACAGATTCTCCTAACATGATACATGCTATAACAAGCATACGATATTCTTTTCCCCTTGGAAGACACTTTTTTCTTTGATAAAATGAAAAACAAATTGCAATAATCACAATAACAATCTCAAGAAACCGAAACTAATTTCACACACGCTCTCTAAATATCACAAAAGGACATATCCAGAGGGTGGTTCTGTTGCTGAAACACCAGAATTGTATCTATCTTCTAGCATACAGCTTTTGCGACCAAGCAGATCTGCAGAACAGTTTTTTCTCTTCTAGAGATATCTCGAGTTCCACTATTTGAGGCTAGATAATAATGCAACTATGGATTGCTGTGTTAATATAAATTGTACTAGGTTTCCACAACACAAGCATAGGTCATACAAGCACCTCACGAATCAAGCATTTATTTCTGAATTGCATTGGTGCTCCCTGCTGCAACTTCTTCTACCCCAGAACATGCTAGAACAGGTTGTTTTATCCAGTCTTGGCCCTTCAACTTTATCCTGATCCATTGTTGATTCTTGAGAATGATGAGCTGATTCATCTTGTGTTTCTACTTCACGGGGTTCAAATGATGGACATGGACCATCATTGCAGGTACACATGGGAATTGCCATAGATGGAAATGGACTACAAGTGACGGGGCAGAGTATCTCCGAAGGAACAGAAGCTACACGATTTCTTCCAATCTCTGGTGTACGAGAAAGGGATGGCCGGTCTATGTCACCTGGATGTAGCATGCATGGGGTACACAGGCCAAGGGACACGTGTAATTTATTTTCTTTTGCTTGGGAACCTGGTAACTTCACGAAAGATACAATTCCATGTCTACAAAGGGGGCAAGGAATAGAGCCAGGAGGGCCAAGCATTTCGGAAGAAACATTGTTTGTTGAGCAAAGATAGAGTGCACATCTTACACAAAGCTCATGTCCACATCCTGCATGTATAATCTAATGATATCACTTAAGCTATTATGCAGAGCTTAATGTGTGTTTCAAATTCTAATACCAGAATCTTGAAATTGTGAGCAAAAAAAGGGTGAAAATATGGTGACAGAGGACGAGACACCCGCTCCCCCAGCGTGAGGCTAGACACACAAAGGTATGATAGCTTATTATGCTCTCAATGATATTTCTATTGTATTTTCTGGGTTTTGGAAACTAGTCCTTACTCCTTATATAATTCCCTGCTTTAGGGAATTAGGATCTGGGTCCACTTTGAACCGATGCAGTTCATTAGATATTTACATGCAGAAGGCAAGCAAACAGATATTCAAAAGATAAAGAAACCAGTACCTTCTGCAGCCACTGAACATGGCCTCTCCAAGCATACAGCACAAAAGTCAATCTCATCCGAGGAGGAAGCAGATGATCGCAATCCATACTCTCTGCAGTTATTTCAAATCAATCTTAGCACCATTTTTCAACATAGGAATGCGTCTTCCCCTTTTCTTAATATTTAACTACAAAATAAACTTCAGCTAATATCTAAATCAACAAATCCGTGAGGCCAGGTCAGACAGAAATTCAGATTTAGTTGTAGCAGATTTTATAAATAAATTTGTGTAGTTTCAATGAAGGAGAGTTCTGAGTAGTGAACATAAAATGCATGATAAGAGGGAGTAATTTACTTTCAAAATATTGGTTATGTCAATTGACATTTCAAACTTTCATTTATTTCCAATATTTATATTATCAATCAACACAGATGGTGCATCAAATGCCCATTATAAGAGTCTACCAACACAGTTACAATGTCCTGTTCAACTTCACATGATTACTCTCATTTGCATTGGCTTACAATTCACAATTCAACTGAATCAACTATTTCAAAAGGCATGGTATCCCATTCTTTTTTATCTAGAAAATGAAACAAAGTGTAACAATGATTGCCTTGTAACATACAATTGAATTTTCATTGTGATGAGTAAATTAAGGTTCTGCTGATGGATCACAAGTTCAGGCATGCAAGTTTTTTCTCCTCCTTTTCTTATCTAAATGAGGGGTAATGAGTGTATACATTCCTACTTTCGTAGCTTATCTAAATTATTTTGCTTTATTTTCAATGGGCTATTCATGGTCCCCAATAATCTGCCAAAAATATATACAGAAATCTTCCCCTATATGTCTGTTATTTTCATTATCTAAATAGATTTCCACATGAAAAACAGTTGGGTTGACTTGGAGAAACAAAAATAGTGGATTGCAAAATACCTAGCTATGTTGAGCACACTCATAAGAGGCAAGGACAAGTATTTTGAATGAGAGAATGTAGGTATTGTGGTATCAGAACTAGGTGCCAGTAATTGTTCAAGCCAATGACGCCCCCACATCCTAGCAATGTCAAGAGGAAGCCACCTAGGGAAAAAGAAAAAATGCAAATTTGTATTAATATATTATCAAGCAAGTAAAAGTTTGAGCCAAAATACCTATTTACAATGTCTAACGATATCTCACCCATTGCAATTTAAAGCCATCCGACTTGCACCTCGTGCAACAAGGATCTGAAAAAAGAATAACATTATTTCCAGTTTCAAAGGAAAGGGCCAGAAGGTATTTCACAATCAAAATTCAAACAATTCTTGCCTGACAGCATTTTAAATTGCCCCCACAAGCAGCATAATGCAATGGAGTACTTCCAGCACCTACATCAAATCACGTTAGTTGTGTTGAACGGCAGAAAACAGCCTTAGAGATATTTAATATGTTAAACAAAAAGAAATACCTATTAAATCCATTGATGTTCCATAATGAAATGTCACAGCAGACACATTTGCATTAAGATCAAGCAGCAGTTGTACACAATCAAAGTACCCATTTAACGCAGCCATATGAAGGGCAGTGATACCACCATCAGCAGCCTTATTTACAAACTTGGACAGGGCACTGCACTGGAATAAAGTAAATAAATTGCACACCTAAATGACAACTTTAGTGAAGTCAGGCCTTAACTCTTGTAACAGCAAGAACACTGAACAAAATCTCATTGTCATCATTCCCTTGATAAAATTATGCATGCCTTTTTACAACTAAATTTTTTATCTAAGATTTACTTATTCTTGGAGGAAGTAAGTAAAAGCATGTAGTTGCATATGTAGGACATTTGAGAAAAATCAAAGTGAGAAATAAATGAAATACTCCATAGTTGATGAAATATACAAAGGAAATTTAAATAAAAGCATACCAGTCATCAAACCTATTAGTCAAATGTAAATTATAACATATAAAATTCACTACAATAACATCTTACTATGAGAATAAATAATGAAAAGGAAACGGATACCTTTGCTCATGTTTGCCTTTCACATTTGATCCACCACCCTTGTCAACATCCGTGCAGGCATTTAGAGCTTGATAAGGAGCACTTGGTACAAAGTCAGCCACAACAAGTCTAATACACCTTACATGCCCATGCACAGCTGCAAAGTGAAGTGCTGTCCTCCCAGTAAGATAATCAGCTCTCATAACCTGTTATTTAATAGGCTACAGTCAAGTGACTTCTGAAATCAACTTCTACCATGCAAAGAGGAAAGAAACACACAGAAACAAAGCAATCAAGTACCACTTAGCAGGTAGTTTCTCAAACCAACCGTATGACCTCCCATCTCCATGTTATGGTAAATACAAATTTATTGTGAAACTCAGAAAAAGTTGAGATAGAAAGAGGGGAAAAAGAAAAAGAAAAACAGGACTCACATTGCATCTGAAGAGCAAAAGTGTCTGTACAACTTCCCAATGCCCATATCTACAAGCTTGCATCAAGGCCGTCTTCAGATCATGAATAGCAAACCATAATATGAAATTAGTAAAGCCTCACACAAACATGCATTAAAAGGGGGTTGGGGAATATATCGAAAGAAATTGTGATAAAAAGCTTCATGTTATGCTGCTTCGACTGAATTGAGACCAGATCCATGGATCTGATCGGTTATTACAATGCACACTCTATCCATGCGTCCTACCAGAAATGGAAAAAATGTATATTCCAATTGCCAAACACAAAACGGAACCTCTAATGAAAATTCAGCAGTAAATAAATTCAAGCATCTCAGCCATCAGTAATCACATGATGCAGTTTTATTTTTGTTCTCCTATTGATAAAATTAAGAAAGGGTCACCTGGCCACAATAATTTCTGGAATTGACATCAGCTCCATTGTCCAGCAACAATGCCACAATCTAACAAGATAGAAAAATAATAAATAAAAAGCGGAAAGAAAAGAAAAAGAAACGAAAAGGGTGAGTGAAAATACGTCGTTGTGGCCTTTGGCAGCTGCGAAGTGGAGAGGGGAATTGAGGCCACCGAAGGTAGAATACTTGGCGAGACAGGGATTGAAGCTCAGAAGCATCTTGGCCTCCACCAAGTCGCCGTCCCTGGCCGCCGACACCAGCCTCTCGCCGGAGGCCGAACATCCGAAGGAATTGCCCATCACAAAACCCTCTATTTCCTTTTACGTGCACTGCCCTCCTTCTTCTTCCTTTTTCTTTTCAACGAATCAATGTCAATAAATAATTCATTCCCCCATTATCCACAATCTTTATGCATTCTCTTCTTCTAATCTGTAAATTACAGGTTTAAATATTTTTTACTTTTTTTATAATTATGTTTTTTAAATTGTTTTTTTCCTGCGTTAATTTTTTTTTTATTTTTATAACGTTAATATTTTCATGCTAAAAAGTAAATACACCTTCCACCAGACCGTTATAACGTTACATCTTCATTCGCACAAAAATTTTAATCCATCGCAAGAAAAACTATAATAAGATATTTTTTCCCGCTTGGTTTAGGAGCACAGAGAGAGAAATCTTGAGATGAAAGACTTCTGATTGTTTTTTTTTTCTCTTCACAATATCAAGTTAATAAGTATATGTGACTCACAAACATGACATTACAAAATAAGTAATGGTAAAAACTTAAAAAGTTTAGTTATATAACATAAGTGGTGAAAGACTCCTGTCATTTGATCAAGTGTTCAAAGTTTGAATCTTACCTCTTACAAAAGCAAAAATTTCAAGTTAAAAAATGATGTCTACTTATTTAGTATTTATCAAACTCTCGAAAAGTATATTCAACAAGAAATATTTCTTGATAATAAAAAAAAAATTAAATGATAAAGTGAATTTTTGAGAACTAAAAAATTATTTTATCTTAAATTATAAAATGATAGACTTAAATATTTTTAGTTCATACAATCTTCTGTATATGTTTTTTGTCTTTCAAATTTAAAATTTGTGTTTTTAGTTCCTATAATTTAAAAAAAAAATTATTTTGACCCCTGAAATTTCTAACTTGTATTTCTAGTCTCCAAATTATTCAAAATTACTATTTAATCTCTCTCAAATTTTCACTATCAGTTATAATATTAGTGACTAAAATAATTTTTAAAATTACAAAGACAAAAAAAAAACAACTTTAAATTTTGAGGATTAAAATAATCATTTTGATATTTTAGAAATTAAAAATACAAATTTAAATTTTAGAGGCAAAATATAAAGACTCCAAAAATAGGTAAGCCAAAAAAATATTTCTTTTGGTTCACACATTTTCTATTTCTAATGTATCCTGTACACATCTATTAAAAAACTGTAATCTGTGTTCTCACGCACATAGTTGTTCTGTTATTTTTATTTTTTATTTTTAAAACATACACAAAGTCTTTCTTGCACTAGTTTTATAATTACCGGGATAATTTTAATTTTCCATTCATTAAATTAAACCTTTTTACTGAAGAAAAAATGGTGCCTTATCACACAGAAAGGGGATATGAATGCTTTCATTAATATTCAAAATATTGAATTAATGAGTAATAATAACTAATTATATTTAAAAACTTTAATAACTTTCCTGATACCCAGCGCCACATACGGAAAGTTATTTATTTATTTTTTTTCACGTATGTAATGGAAAATCGCAAATAGTCATGAATTAGGCACAAAACTGAAAGAGGCACAGTAAATTCACTGTAGAACATAGGCTCAGTACGTGGCATCATCCTAGAGGCCCACTTGACACGAAGAGTGTATCCAGCCATCCATTCCATTTCACTGTGTAAATAAATACAGAACTGAGCGTGGGGGTCCCTCTCTTCCATACGGATAAGTGGGACACTCTCTCTTCCATTGTTAGGGTTTGTTTCTCTCTGCGTTTTTTGTTGTCTCAATTTTTATTTTCTTTTTTTTTACATTTACAATTTTTTAATTACGAAAACCCCTCTCCCAATTCTGAATTAGTCTCTCTAATCTAATCCTCCGCAGCGCCACAAAGCTTCAAACCACAGTCAACGTTTCAAAACACACTTCTCTCTATTCGCCCGTCGAACAACACACTGTACGCAACATCAATTTCACTTTTTCACTCCTGAAAATTTCAAATTTGCAATCTTTTCTCTTGTTTCTTGTCTGGGTTTTCATCATATTTTTCTGGGTCTCTCGTAATTCTTGTTAAATTTCCTTTTCTTGTTCAGGATGGAAGCGAATGCAAATCATACCCACGACGGCGAAGAGACGCCGACGCCGCCAATGGTGGACCAGCCGGAGTCTCCGCCGGCGG